AAGACAGATAGCAAAGTCTGGCATTTGTCTAAAAATACTATCCTGAAGAATTAAAAATGAAAGTCACTGAAGTCAGTGTAGCTTGTGACAGTTGCTACCACTGAGTGACGGACCAGGGAGGCTTGGCGCTCTGGCATCTTTATCTTACAAGATACTTGAAGGTGTTTTTTATTACGATGATAAAATAACATCTCTCTCTTCCCTGTCCTCCCTCCAAGCCCTTCCCACCCTCCTTCAAATTCATGGTCTCTTTCATTAATTATTTCATGCAGATATAGATATAGAGAATATTGAGATATATAGAGGTATATATAGATATTCTTGTTGGTTTTATTGGTTGATTGGTTGGTTGGTTTTGACACAAGGTTTCTCTGTATAACCCTAGCTGTCCTAGATCTCACTCTGTAGAACAGGGTGGCCTCCCAGTCTCTGTCTCCCAAGTGCCTTGATTAAAGGCATGTACCACTACTACCCAGCATATATATTGTTAAATATAACCTACTCTGTATATAATGTTACTTGTGTATGTGCTTTCAGGGCTAACCATTTGGCATGGACAGTGAATTGTTGCACTCTTCCCTGGGGAAGGCTACCTCTCACCACCCCAGCTCTCCTCAGTTGCCTGTAGTTCTTTGTGTAGAGTTGAGGCTTCCTGGGCTTTTCCCAATCCACTTTGTCATATCCACAAAGTGTCAACAGCATGACAACCAAGATGTGAGCCGATAGTTTACTATTTTAAAAACTGTTCTTCCAGGGCTGAGGTGGCTTACTGGGTAAGAGCACTTAAGGATCTTCCATAGGACCCAAGTTCAATTCCCAGCACCCACATAGTAGCTCACAACCATCTGTAACTCCAGTTCCTAGGGGTCTTACGCTCTTTTTATGCTTCTGCAGGCACCAGGCAAGCCACATGAAGCACATATGTACAAACATGCAAAATACTCACACACATAAAAAAAATGAAACTTTAGAAAAAGATTAATTTTCTACAATAAATACATGGAAATATCACCCATTTTATGGGCTGGGGCAAAAACTACAATTACAGAAGATCCTAAATATTTTTTGTTGTTGTTTATTTAGATTTGCAGGGGAGGATTTTTGGTTTTGGCAGTGTTGAGATGGACCTTAGGGCTTTGGCCATCCTAAATAACTACTCTACCACTGGGCTACACCCACACAGCCTGAAAAGAGCATTTTAAAGAAACCATAAATTAAATAAAACAGTATATGGCCAAGAGATCAAAGCTTTACAATCTGAGCCCTTGCTTTGAAGCATTCTCTGTTGCTTTGTTTCTCTATGACCTTGGGTAAGTTTCTATCCCTCTCTGAGCTTCTGTCTAAATGTCCTGCTACACACACACACACACTTAGTAGAGACAATAGCATCTTGTTTCCTGTTGAAACTTCAAGTCTCACAGATATTATAAGAATGAAGTCCAGCTTCTGTTGATGGTGGATCTTCAGTTAGCACTCACTCACAGTCCAAAAACCCAAGGGTCATCAGTCACCAGGTGGTGCAGGCTGGCTTCAGTATCAAAGGTGTGTTCTCTAGTCAGGGCCACATAATGTCACCAGCGAGCACCATGCTGGCACTGGGCAGGCCCTAACTGCAGAGCCTTGGAGGGAAGTTCTTTGAACCCAGTATCAATCCCTCGTAGTTCTCACATACCTCCTCAGCACCAGCTTGGGAAAGCACAGCACAGCACAGCATGAAGAGCTAGCTAGAGGGAGGTATAGCAGAAGGAGCCCTTTCTGTTCAGCACAAGATGCTACCATGTGACAGGAGCTTGGTTTGAGTTTTGAGATAGATCAGTGAACAAGAAGACAGATGACTGCCCTTCTCAAAAAGCTGCATCAGGGGTGATGTGCCACACAGGCAAGCCCCAGCCATTAACAAAGCTTCCTGGCTTTGTTATATATAACAAATACTCATAACAAATCTCATGGTGAGAGTTACTTTGGCTGAAGGCAAACTCTTAGTCATACCAGTTAATTCCTCCCACTACTAGTGTTACGCCAGATGAGGCATGGATTTTACTGAGGTATACACACATAAACATACATATTTACACACACACATACACACATACATACACACATACACACACATACACACACATACATACACACACACATACACACATACATATACACATACACACCCAGATACACACAGATGCACACAGACACACATACACACACATACATATACACACACACATTCATACACATACACACACATACACACACACACATACACATATACACACATACATACATACATACACACACGTACACACATACACACACAAATATACTCATATACACACAGAGACTCACAGACATACATATATACACATACACACATACACATATACACACACATACACACACAGACATACACACACACAGACATACACACACAGACACACACATACATATACACACACATATTCATATACATACATACACACATACATACACACACATTCATACACATATACACACACAGACACACATATACATACATACATATACACACACATACACACATACACACGGATACATACACATTCATATACATACATACACAGAGACACACATACACACACATACATACACACACATTTATACACATATACACACACAGACACACATATACACACATACACACAGATACATACACATTCATATACATGCACACACAGACACACAGACATACACACACAGACACATATACACACACATGCATACACACACACGCATTCATACACATACACACACATTCAACACATACACACACACCTTATTCAATTCCAACCCTTTCTTCAGTGTGTGCGGGGGGGGGGGGGGGACATGGGAGGGGTAGAATATTTATATACTTACCATAATTCACAGGATCCAGGGTGCCATCAATTATGAAACACTGTCTAATTTAAGGCATTTAAAAATGTAAAAATGTGAAGGTGGAGAGATGGCCCAGAGGTTAAGAGCACTGGCTGCTCTTCCAGAGTTCCTGAGTTCAATTCCCAGCGACCACATGATGATTCACAACCATCTGTAATGGGATCTGATGCCCCCTTCTGGTGTGCTTGAAGATGGCTTACTTCCATACATTAAAATAAATAAATAAATAAATAAATCTTTAAAATAAAAAGTATATAAAAATGCAAACCAATATAAATGCCTTCCCTTTAGCATCAGAATAAGCATTCTGGCTTCAGGCGGGGGACGCTGGTTAGGCTCTGGGTGTCTGGATTCTGATAGACATGATCCCACCGTTTCTTACCTTTGTGTCATTCGGCAGACTGTTTACCCTGTATAAAACTGAAATTCCTTTCCTCTAAAATGACCATACCCAGAGAGCTGGCTGGTGCATAGTATTGACTCAGGAAGCTTGATTTTTTTAAGCTCTCTACCCAGTGAACGAAAATCCCCAAACTGGCCACTTTTGTATTTCCTTCAGTGGTCCATATCTCTCTTCAGTCAAATAACTGGATATAAAAATCTAAACTTGTTATAAAAGGCTTGTCCTGCTTGTCTTATGTAGCTCTGAGGGACTTGTTTGTTTGTACTATTTGACAGGAACATGTGAGTGAGTGTGTGTGTGTGTGTGTGTGTGATTAGTTTGTGAAGTAAGCCCAACTCCTTGTTGAAGTATGGTCAGGTTTTGGAGGGCATCCAATAAACCTTAATAAAAAACAGCATCCACCTCATGGCACACATGAACGTAAAGTGCTGGGTGAGAATATTCAGTGTATATTCCGTGGCCGTGTGTCTGACTCTCAATTCTGTTGTCTAGTCCTCCTCCGGCACTCAGACCGATCTTAATAACATGCTAAGGGTTCAAGAAACATTTGGTCAGTGCACACATGCTTTGTACATGTGGGCTGCTCTTTGCACCTCAGTCTGCCTCTTGCAGGTGACCAGATAGTGAAGTGAGGCTCAGGAGAAGCTGTTGGGAGCTGCCCTTGGGTGATGATGGGTGTCAGCTATGCCATGGGATAGCAGACACCTTGACCTGCTAAAACCCTTGGGCAAGCGCTGCCGAAACAATCAGGCCACGCCCTCAAGTGATGCTTGCAACAAGAGTACTTAGAGGTGTTTTAGAAAGTGTTTTGCTGTCGAGGCTGTACAGGGTGTCTCAGCAAATGAAATCCTCCAGTTCACGGCTCTGGTTCAGAGGGAGAGAGGGGATATGGAATATTCAGCAGAGTAGCAGGCTGGTGGAAGGCAGAAAAGGCTTATTACTCAATGTATTAACAACCCCTGGCTTTTCTCAAACCTGGCTACTCCGGGGACATATTAGACATCAACCTGCCCTCTATGTCCTATACCTGATGGCTGTAATTTGAAAGAAGGAGGCCATGAGTCTGGGGAGGAGAGGGAGTTGGGGAGGGGTGAAAGTACTTGCTGTACAATCATGAGGACCTGAGTTCAGATCTCCAGCACTCAGGTATGGGGGTGCATGTTTGGAATCCCAGTACTGGTTAGGGAACAGAAAGGCATAAGGGTTGACTTGAGACACGAGAATCCGTAGGGCTTGCCAGCCAGTCAGTCAGCCTTGCTTGAAACAGGGTAAGCTCCAGGGCTAATGAGAGACCTGTCTCAGAAGAATAGGGTTGAGAGTGATAGATCAGGGCATCAAAGTACCTAACATTGTCCTCTGGCCTATACACATGTGTGCACATCACACACACACACACACATTACACTATGCACACACTTTTTTTTTTTAAGGAAGAGGTACAATAACAAAGAAAGGAAGACATGGCTTTTCTCCTCCTTTGTCAGCTCAGGCTCAGATGTTACAGATTCCAAGGATTTTCTTGGGGTAGGGGCAAAGCAGCACCATTGGTCCGCAGAAGCTGTCCAAAGCTGACATTGCAAGTCCACTATGTGACTATGAAATCAGCTTGGGAAGCTCCCTCATCTGAGAAACTGCAGCAGCAAAAGGCTCTCCACTCAGCTAATGTTGACATTTTCACACTTTCCAGGTGACCTTATACAAGGACTCTGGCATGGAGGACTTTGGATTCAGTGTGGCAGATGGCCTGCTGGAGAAAGGAGTGTATGTGAAAAATATCCGGCCAGCTGGGCCAGGTGATCTTGGTGGCTTGAAGCCCTATGACAGACTCTTACAGGTAAGGCCTCCGAGGAGTCCTGAATCCTTGCCCCTGACCTACAGACAGGCAGCAACTTCCTCCTGATTCTCCTGCACAGTTAGACCTTTTGTTTTCCCCCGCTCTCCTGTCCTCGAACTCTGGAACTACTAGCAGCAAACAGCTGGATAGAGAAGTCTATTTCAGCCCCCTGAATGTCCTGACACTAAGCTGAGTGCTATGCTATTTATTTGAATGGTCATTCCTCAAACATCAGACTAGATATGGCCCTGGAGCTCACTGGCCAGCCTATCTAGCCAAACCACTGAGCTCCAGAGTCAATAGAGAGACCCTATCTCCAAGAAAATAAGGCAGAGAGAGCAATCTGAAAAGATACTGACATCCACCTCTGAGCTCCAACACTCAAACACACATCCACATGAACATGTACTGGCAACACACACAAAGACACACATATACACACACACACACACACTCACATACACACACAGAAACACACACACAAAAACACACACATGCATACACACACTCACATACACATACACAAACACACAATACACACAAATACACACACACACAAACACACAAACCTGCATACACATACATGAACACACACACACAAACACACACACACATGCATACACACACACTCACATACACATACACAAACACACACACACACGAACACACACACACAAACACACAAACTTGCATACACACACATGAACACAAACACACACACATGCACACACACACACAACAACAAAAGAAAAGCAATATTATCGTGGTTGAATAGGGACATGGTGAGGAAGCAGATGTTCACAGGGATGAGCAGGGAGGTATGGGTCAGCGGCCCTGTTTTGGACCTATCCAATCCTCCCTAACGTCAGCCCATCCCGATGGGACATAGTTCGTAAGTTAGATCTATTACTTAGACGTGATGTTCCAGCCAGGGCTAAAGATTTCTAGAAGACGAGGGTTAGATAAAGTTACCCATGGTGAATTTCTAGTCAGAAGTGAAAGAGACTCATGGAGGGAATTCTGAGCATTAGGAAGCACAGAAGGACAACAGAAAACCACAGACCAGTGCCTCCCAACCTTCCTAACGCTACCACCCTTTAATACAGCCCCTCATGCTGTGGCGACCCCCCAACCATAAAATCATTTTCATTGCTACTTCATAACTGTAACGTTGCTACTGTTGTAAGGTCAACATCTATGCTTTCTGATGGCCTTAGGCAATGCCTGTGGAAGTCATTGAAACCCCGAAGGGGTCATGACTCAGGTTGAGAACCACTGCAATAGAGGCTCAAAGCAAGCAGAGTACGTCCTAAGAAACAAGATTTGGAGCCCCAGGTTAATTGGGCTTCTGGTACTAGAGGAGCCAGCAAGTGTGGGCTAGTGGGCAGGGAGAGGGAGTTGGGTCTTTGACCTGAAGACTACTTTAAAGATAAGTTCTCCCAGTTGTCTCGATAATGGGGGGCCATTATGTGGAACACGTATTCAGAGAAGAGGTGTGCCGGTGGCTCTTATCCAACCTGTTTATCCTGCCTATGGTCCTTGCTCTCAGAGTCCATGCCTCAGTTTCCCCACAAGTTTGGGAAGGAAGCCAAGCCCAGGGTAGGGGGTTGGAGGTCCCTGGGTCTTCAGACAGAAAGTGCAAGTGTGACACACTTCTGTCACTGTTCACCGTTGCATATTTATGGACCCTGGACAGGGAAAGTGCCATGGGCTATCAGGGCAGTCCCTTAGTCACACAGACAGGAGTGAAGAGTTGAGAAGAGAGATGAGACGGCCACCTGAAATTCTTACCGGAAGACTTGAAGTTTGAGGGCAAATGTCTGAGCGGTGTCTGAGCGGTCCATCAAAGGAGCAGGCTAAGCAGGAAGCAGCCAGAGAAAAGGCAAACAGCCACCAGCTTGAGACCCCAGCGAGGTGTTCTCAGGCCTGAGAACCTCTGCCGCCGTTCACTACATCAGAGAAGGGGAGCTAAGGGACAAACAGGTGTCCAGAGCAGTAGACTGCAGACATCTGAGAAGGCTGAGGACTCTACAGTTTCTGGAGTTGAAACTGGGTCTGTCAAATGCCCAGAGCTTGTCCTCAGAAAGCGGGGAGAGAATGAGAAGTCAGGACAGGGCGTTGAGTGCGAGGGATTTTAAGAAGCTTTGCTCTTGGGCTAGGAATATAGATAGCTCCACAGTAGAGTGTTTGGCTAGCATGTGTGATCCCTGAGGTCCAATTCCCAGGTTAAAAGAGGATTGAAGTTAGGAGTGCCTAGAGAATGTGTAAGTTGAGGAGGAGGTGGGTTCTTCCTTAACTGAGTGACCTCTGCATCGTAGTAGCCAGACTACCTGGAACTACATTCTTGGGAAGCCCCTACCCACTGCTGGTCAGAAGCAAAGCAACTCGCCATCCTAAGCTCTGTTTCCTTCCTCTGTAAACCAGTGTAACATTCAGCAGTGGGAGACAGAGACAGAGAGAGACAGAGAGAGAGAGAGAGAGAGAGAGAGAGA